CAAAAAAAAGAGGGGGCAAAGAAGAGGGGCCCCCCCCCCCCCCCCCCCCCCCGAGCAGCGATTCATGTGTGTGTTGAAGCGCAGGCCCCTCTCCCCGGCCGCGCGCGTGCAGGGTGCAGCTGCCCGGGCGGGTGCAGATGCGGCGCCCCCCGCTCGGCCCCGCAGTCTGCCCGGCAACACCCGCCCCGCAGCCGGACCCGCCGCTATGTCAGCGCCCCCCACGTGGCCCCGCGGCACGAGTCGGCCCCGCCCCCGCCTGCTTTGCATCAGAATGCTCGGGCCGGCGGGCCAATCAGCGCCGCGGAGGCGCCGCCAGCTGCCGGCCGGCTTATAAAAGGTGGCGGCGGCGCTGCGGCTGCATCAGTGTGCTTGGGAAGCTGAAGGCTGGTAGGGTAGGGTGCGGCTGACTAGAACAGTGTGCGAGCGACGCGTGTGGATACTACAGTCCCGCGGTCTGTGCCTTTGCCGGTAGCAGCACCATGACTCTGGAGGAAGTTCACGGGCAGGAGCCAGTGCCGGAGACGGGTGACAGGTGAGTGTCTGCTGGGGCTGGGACTGTAGAGCTGGGGGTTGGGGTGTACTTGACTTGCTGGGGCTAACGTGCTGCTCAACTGGGCGTTGATCCTCTTCTTTGTGCCTCTTGTAGGATGCAGGGTGCTGGTAAAGCCCTCCACGAGCTCCTGGTATCGGCGCAGCGGCGCAGCTGCCTCACGGCTGGTGTCTACGAGTCTGCTAAGCTGATGAATGTGTAAGTCTGCAGCCAGTGTCCCACTCCCCAGCCTGCCTTTCTGTCCGTTCAGCTACCTCCCTCCCTGCCTGGTGCGCAGAGCCTGGGCTTAATGGATGTCTGCTTCTCCCTTTTCCCCTGCAGGGATCCAGATAACGTGGCGTTTTGCGTGTTGGCCATGGATGAGGAGGATGAGGGGGACATTGCCCTGCAGATCCACTTCACTCTCATCCAAGCCTTTTGCTGCGAGAATGACATTGACATTGTGCGGCTTAATGATACCCCCAAGCTGGCCAAGATCCTGGGGCCTGGCGAGGACGCGAGTGAGCCCAGAGACCTCCACTGCATCCTCATCATGGTGAGTGGCTGGACTGGGCTTGGGGGTGCTGTAGGCATGGCTGCCCCCTGCAGCCAGCTTAGCATCTGTTCTGTGGGTGCGCTTGGGGTGACACTAGTAGGTGCCTCTGCTGGAGACCCCTTCCCCAGACAGTCTGAGTGTGTGTGTTGGATACTTATCTGACACTACTTTTAGCATGGATTTCTCCACCTCCATGCAGCTTGCCCCACAAGAAGCAAGATCCTGCTTGTTCCCCTCGGATGTGCCAGCTTAAAAGGCTAAAGCCATTCCTTTTGTGCCAGCATGCTCTCTGAGCTCAGGGCTGCTCTGAGGACCAGGAATGTGTGTACTTATGGAAGCTCTGTTCCTTTTTATTGCAGAACCCCAATGAGGATACATGGAAGGATCCAGCCCTTGAAAAATTGAACTTGTTTTGTGAGGAAAGCCGGAAGGTCAATGACTGGGTGCCCACAATCACCCTCCCGGAGTGATGAATATCCAGTGCACTAGGAAGGCTGAAACCTTTGTTGCATTCTTCTCATGGTGTTGGCTCACCCAGTGTGCAACAAGTTTGCTGATTCTGTGGATTAGCCTGGTCAAGAGATTGGATTGAGTCTCTCAAACTGGCACCAAGTGGGCTCTTGTGGAGAGAAGAGAAGGAGGATGGCTCGTGCCAGCAGGTTGGCCCCACTGTGCAGTGGGGCTAGTGGAGGGGCTGGCATACCGTGGAGCTGAAGGAAGTACTGCAAGTTTCCAGGAGCTGAAAAAAAATGCAAGCTTCAGGGTCGAGTGGAACTGTTCCAGAAGGCAGGACAGAAGGTTGGGAATTGGACAAAAATCATATGGAAGGACTGGACAAAACAACATTGTAACTAGGAATTGTTGGCAATATCTATGAAATATTAGGAGGAAAACTTTGGCCTAGTTAGAGACTTGTTACTGTGACAATACAAAGACTTATGCAGACTGTCTTTTGTACAGACTGACTTGTTAGGCCTTTGGGCCGCTTTGCAAAAGTGGTTTGATTTAATGCAATAATCATTTTTTTTTTTTTTTTTTTTTTTTTTTTTTTTTTTTTTTATTACTACTTATGCTGCTATTGAAGCATTTGTTTTATAATAAACTGTTTTTGACAAATAACTTCTGGTGTCTTGCTTACCTGGGTAGGGAAAAGCTTTTGGAGATCAGCACATATCCATAACATAATGTATATTTAGCAGACGTGAATTGCACTCTTCTCTTTCTTCCCCCTTTCCAAATGCTTGTTCTCTGGCAGTTAATGCATGGAAATGTGCCTTTTACTGGGAAAGACTCTCTCTAGCTTTGAGAGAGTAGCTGATTTTAATTCAAAGCATAGCTCTTCAAAACTGATAATTTGACCTTTCAACCCTCTGCAACAGCTGCTTACTGCAACAGCTTGCAAGACTGAAGGGCTGCATGCTTAATGACCTTGTTTGTCATAGGTGGCCTCTACTTTACTAAAGAAACAGTCTGTAGTCCAAGAAGACTTGGTTTCAAACTTCCTGGTGTTGCGTGCAGCTTGCTCTCTGAACAAAAAGCTTTGCATATCTATATGTATTTAACCACCTTACTGGAATTTTTTTTTTTTTTTTTTTATAGTAGCTATGTCTTTGCACTTACTGATTATTTCTGTATCGATGAGAGTATACGTGTCCTTTTTAACATTTTTTGTGACTAGAAGTCAAAATGTTCTGAAACATTGCAATTAGTGTCTGAATACAGGTTTCAGATAGATATAATAGCTTGCATCTGCTTCAAGTCTGTTGTTTGTCTTGTCTGTCTGCCATATGCTGGAACAATAGAAGCTGTCATTCCCCAACCCAATTGTCTGAAACTCTAATTGCCTGGCTAAAACCAAATCAAGTGCAGAGAGAAGTCTAGGGACTGCACAATTTTTTTTTTTTTAAATGCAGTATAAACTTGACTAACATGACTGAAATGAAAACAGCTTTCTCCTAATAGGGCTACTAGTGCACAATTATTTATAATGTCTTAGTCAGTAGGGAGATTATTACAAGCTGTGATTGCCTAGGGGGCTGTACCTACTATCTCCATGCCCAAAGCATGCAACTGAGTCTGTGTATGCTTTGCACAATGAAAGTGTACAGAAAAAGCAACTTAAAATGGATATGAATTGTGTGTCCTTTTAAAAGAAAACACTTTTTTTATAGCAGCTAAAGCAATATTAGAATACATTCCCCTTCCCCCTGCCCCCACTCCAAGTGATTGATTGACATCTTAGCATTTTGCTTATAGATGTAGTATTTCTGAGATGGAACAGGTCATCAATTCAAAGTTGATGACTTCATTAGGAGCAAACACTACAACTTTATTGTTCTGAATAATATCAATTTGGATTCGCCCAGTTTTACAGCACTCATCTGATGGGATAAGTGGTGCTCAGTCTCTGTCTGTATGTGGTATGACAGAGCAGCATGACAATGTACGCAGGATAGAACTCGCAGCAGTTCACCCTTGGATTGGAGTTCCAAATAATTAGCTTCAACTCCTTCACTACATTTTAAAATAGATTAAAAATAGTCTTGTAGAGGGAGATTTATGAACTCTTTAAAAAAGTTACTTGTTAACTTATTCCTAAGGTTTCTAGGAACTTGATTTCATGAGAGAAACCCTGCACATAAAAAGACTGCTTCCACTGCAACCATTCTGGCAGGTACAGAATGTCTTATCTCAGTAGTTTTTCTACCTGGATAAATACATGCACCATCACTTTCAAGAAGTTTAGAGCTTTGAAGAAACAGAACTTGGCAAGCTTTGTTCTTTACCTAATCAGTATATGGCTTAGAGCAGCTTAAAATTAACTGTCTTGGAATAAACCATCAGCAGTAAATTAAGGCCTTGAATGATTTAAACTGTAAATCAGATAAAACAAGTAAATTATTAAACTGGTGTGTTTTTTTTCAATTCTAATGCAATGCATACCTTGGCTGGTTTGATAGATGGGATGGTAAGTAATAGAAACTTTAATTCTGTGACTAGGAGCTCTACTCTAGTAGAGTAGAGAAAGAGGTATGGGGTTCCAAATAATAATAAAACTAACAAAGCAAGACAAAGCCTGGACTTTAACATTTAAAGCACACACTGGAGAATCATGAGAAGACTTTCGCATTAGAGTCCAGTAAAAGCGAGAGAGTGCCCTTAGCCTTCCCCATAAACTGTAATTGTACCTCATGAAGAAGTGCAGTTTCAATCTTTTGTGAGCGTTATCTTGCTGTTGATGAGCACTGATACATTTAGATGCAGGGCAAATAACATTAAGCCCAGTTTTTCTTGGGTTAGTTATTAAAATGTCCTGTAATGATTGATATTTACTGCATAGCAGTCAAAGACATATATAGCTTACAAGTTAGGCACTGATGCAAGTATTTCTAATGATGGGCATTATTTAATGGAACAAAAATTAAGCAGCTGATATGGACCAGAGTGAGTAGGCATCTTTATATGCTCAAAAATATTCTCTCACACATACTTTGCAAGAAACAACTGTCCAGCTGTTGCAAACATGCATTACACTTGTATATATTCATTGTCCAGGTGCATCAGGTCATTGATTCTTACAGAGTTGCAGGGCTAGCATCTCTAATGCCTCATATATCAGTCATGCTGTAACATGGATTGGCTCTCTTGCTCTACTGCAGCATTTTTTACTGCTGGGAAATTCCAGGTAGATCTGAGGCTACTTCAGTGTTTGGAAGCTCCAGTACATCTGGATACCTTGAATGACTTCCAGTTGACGGACCTCCAGATTAGCTCCACTGTAGCAATATTTGGGGTCTTTTGCACCTGCTCCTTGGAGCCACAAAAAAGTTCCTTTTTTGCTTTTGCCACTGTTTCTGCAGCGCTAGTAGTATGTATATGTGTGGTTGAAGAGTTGGGGATTGGGTAAGGTTACTGAGGATAGGGCACTTGAGAGGCATTTGCTAAATTTGGAATTATGGCATGGTTTATAGTGAGGCAATGGGCTCTTGGTTTGGGAGAAGTTTTGAGCCAAGAAGTGCTGGGGGAGGGGGAAACCCTCTGCTTGCACATCTCTACAATACTTCTCACCTGGGTATTGCAAGATGATCAAACCCCAGTATTTTCAGTATTATCTTTTTGACACAGATATTAAAGATCAAAAGGTATGATTAGGTTGTCTAATCCAAGTTTTTGCTAGTGCTGTTTGGTACTTAAATGATTTGTGAAGTCTCGTTTTAAAATTTCTCAACCAGTGGGTTTCCATTACTTCCCTTGAG